CTGCTGAGGTCACATGACCAGTGTCAGTTTGTTCTCAGGCTGTGAGCTGCAGACAAACTACAGGAAACACTTCCACTCATGACGCTCTGATCTTCTCCTACAGGTGGAGCAGAACTCAGGATGCTGCTGGTGGGGAAAACAGGAGCTGGGAAGAGTGCATCAGGAAACACCATCTTAGGGAGGAAAGTCTTTAAATCTGCACAATCTTTTTTCTCAGTAACATCACTCTGTCAGAAAGAAACAGGTCTGTTTGCAGGTCAGACCCTGACTGTGGTTGATACTCCAGGTCTGTTTGACTACTGTAGAAGTCAAGGAGAGGTGAAGACAGAGATCGCTAAATTTGTCTCCTTGGCTGCTCCTGGTCCTCATGTGATCCTGGTTGTGATCCAGCCTGGCAGATTCACTGAAGAAGAAAAAGAAACACTGAGAATCATTCAGGAGATGTTTGGAGAAGAAGTAGCAGGTTACACCATGGTCCTGTTCACCCGTGGAGACGACCTAGAGGAAGATGGAGTCACCATAGAGAACATTATCACACGGAATCCAGCTCTCCGTGACTTCATCTGTCAGTGTGGAGGATATCATGTTTTTAACAACAGAAATAAAGATCCTGCTCAGGTCAGAGAGCTGCTGAAGAAGATCAACACCATGGTTCAGAGAAACGGAGGAAGATGCTACAGCACTGAGATGTTCAGAGAGGCTGAGAGGAGACGACTTCTGAGAGAAAAACTTGAGATGTTAGACTTGAGAAGACGAGACTTCAGAGAGAAAATCAGCCGCAGTCGTGTGTTCTTCACTGATCTTCATCATTAATTATTATTAATCATCGTCATGAAGACAAAGAAGGAAAATGTTCATTTAACCTGATTAAAAACTGACAGTCTGATTATTGATCATGTGATTATTATTATCAAACAGCTGTTTGATCCTGTGATCAGTCTGATTGGTGATGTCATTGATCAGCTCCTGATTGGATCCTGTTTGTTTGATTATATATATCATTAGTGTTGATGTAAACTTCCTGTCAGCAGTTTAAACCATGTTTAGTTCAACTGTCATGTGACTGTGACGTCAGAGGGGATGAACTGACAGCAGTGAGCAGAGCGCCCCCTGTTGACCTGCACACAGTTCATGACCAATGGGATTAGGGCTGGGTCATATCATACCGTTCACGGTAATACCGGTGTAATGTTGGGCAACGATAAGAAAATGAAATATGGCGATAGAATATGGGTAAAACGCGCACGCCAGTGCCTTTGTTTTCATACGCACACAGCGGAAAAAGCATGGCGGCGACGCAGAACGAGAAGAGCGAAAGTGGATCGTTGAATGAAATGATGAACCTGAACTGGTTTGTAAAAATGCTGCAGCTTCACTGGTGGAACTGGTTTAGCTTTCGTCCGTCAGATACACAACAAAGCACTATTTTTGGTAGCGCATGCTAGCGGGCCGTCGTTATTACCGTGTTGTTTGGAAAATACGGCGCACTTAAAATCATCCTTTGGTT